ATAGTAACACACAAAACAGTAATCAAGACCTGCAATATTAACTAGTTTTCCAGTGCCAGGCTAATGTTATAGCTCCGATTTATGTTCCAGCAAAGCTACTAAGAAGTTGATCCTTATTTACTGTTTAGCAAGTAACGGTCACCACTAAACAAACCAATAATCACACCCTAGCCATACAGATCTTGCCTATGTTTGTTACAAAACAAAGGCATCACTGTGCCGTGTACACAGTAACACGACAGAGCAACTGCATTTATAAAATGAAGGTAGGAGAGTAAGTGAATTCATAAATACGCTCAGATCAAATGTTATTAAATGAAAGCGAGTTGTTGCATCTAAATAAATCCAGGTTTGACATATGAACATTGCCAGCTGGGGATTCTGCTTGGCAAGATGCATTTGGGTGGCTAGGAAAACTAAAAAGCATATGATGAAGGGCATTAATGATTTCCCTTGTTAGCAACTGGAAAGGCCAGACGTTGAAGCATGATCTGTATATCCTTGAAAACTTGGCTTTGTAACTAACTTGCCTTAATCATGATAACCTCTTGACAGTAGTTGATAACGATATGTAAACACTTCAAGGGAACATTGTGATCAGTGAAGTTGCTCCAGACTTGCTGCAAGATGAAACAGAAGCTAATCCCAAATCCTTTCAGACCACTTGAGTTGAAATTCATGGACTCTTTTTTTTTAGTTTGTAGAAAGATATATATTAAAAATATATTAAGCAGCAAAAATTCACCTGCTTCCCTTAATGCAATCCTTATGAGAACAAACTTTTGAGAACTCACCTTTCAATAATTGCTTATAGAAGTCATGAACCTAACAAAAAAAATGTAGCAAGAAATATAAACCACTCCAGCTACTGCTGGAAGACTAGCAACAACAGCCCCTGGGGGGGGGGGGGGGGGGGGGCGACACCCCACCCCCCACAAAACTCTTTATGTAGTCCTCTAAACACAAAGCTTTCTTCTGTCTTGTGTTGCAGCCGTGATTTAGTTGCATCCAGCTGGAAAGAGCTGAAAGGAGTAGATCCTGCCACTATTTTTCATAACGAGTAGTACTCTCACATGTCACAGTTAATTACAGTGCAAGAACTTGCCGCCCTAAACTTGCCTGCAAATCACAACACAGTAGCAGCTGATGTTCCAAAACGCTAATCCCCTCTAACAAGAAGCCCTGTTAACACAGGCAAGGTGAGAAATTTGGTCCATTGCGTGCCAGATCTATACATAAAACTCTTTCACAGGCCCTGTAAAGAAGCTAATTAGTTGATCTCTTCAAGTCTAACATCCTTGTTACAATTTGAACTCGAGAACTTAAATTGCACTACCATCCAAAGGCCAGTACATACACTGCAACATAGACATGAACCTTAAAACATTTGCATAACTTTCAAGCACCATAGTTTTTTGGCAAGAATTTTTCATACCTTTCAGCTTCATTCCGAATCAGTTTCTTATAATCCCAACAGCTTTTATAAGAGGACAGAACTTTACTTCTATTCTGAAAACAACCAGCACCTAAAAGCAGTTGTGCGTCTTTAATCTATACCATTTGTGAGAGCTAAACAGCAGCAGACAGTTGTTTTTACCTACTTCATCACACATATTTAAACAAACATGAGATGAGCTTGTTTGCTACCATATTAAAGAACAGTCAAAAATGCATACATGTTTTTCACCGTATCTGAAAAGCAATCCAGAATCAAAAATGGATGGTGATTACAATCTTCTTTGCTACACTACAGAGAGGTCAGCTCAGTGAAACCAAGAGGAGCCCAGTCTCACTTGGGAGCTGGTAACAGAAAGAAGGAACACAAGACAGACTGGATTTGCAATTTGCAATTTTATGAATCCCAGCCTATGCAGTTAGTGAGGTTATTTACACTTTACTTACAGGCAGCTTTGGAAAGTAGAGCTCCAGATGGGTAATCTGTGATTTTCAAAACTCAGAATAATATTTGCTAACAAGAAGCAAAGAGCCAAATACATTCTTTTTCAAGCCTTATGAAATTCTGTAGGCCCAAGTGACAAGACAAACCTGCTGCACACATTGACTTCTTCAGGCTCAACCACCAAAAACGTAACTAGCAATAACAGAATTAGGACTGAAATAAGCACAAACTAACAAAACATATACCTGTACAGGGAAGGAGAAAGAGATAGGACAGATGCATAAAATAATGAAAAAGAAGAAACATTAGCAAGAAAAGAAAGAGCTTTAACACATTTTTGAACAGTATTTTTAACACTTAAAATAGGACAGAACTGGGCAATATCTTAGGCTGTATGCTTGATAATAAACAAAGTACTTAAGTACTTCTCTTCCTAGTTAAAGGAACACAATTGAGTATTTTGTAGAAAGTACAGTATAATGTGCAGTTGGTTTAGTACAAATAATGGTAAACTACATACCTGCTCTGACTAAAGAATACTAAATGACCATACTGAATCATTGCTCTCTGTATTTTTCCCCAAAACAGGCAAAGACAAATGCAATGAAGTGATGTTTATGCAAAACCAAGAAGAAAATATTCTAATGGAATCCAAATCTTTCCAAAAGTTGAAAATTACAGTAAAAAGGAAGGGATTTACTAGCAAAAAATTAAGATGGGAGTTGGATGAGAAACATAAAAAAGGTTTAAAATAGATTTTCTCAGGGGAGGAAAAAAATAAACAAAAAACAGCCCACATGTACAGAGATGCATACAGAAAATCATGCTCAAATTAGGACATACTCCCAAGGCACAAACAATGTGAGGTATGCACACATACAACTTCACCTATTGCGAAGTTTGATCAAGTAGTGAGGTTTTTTATGCTGTGGACTTAAACAATAAAAGGTGCAAGCATTTATGAACTGAACCACTCATATTTTGCATTATAAGTCACTTAAACGCAAATACAACAGACTTAAACAGCTGTATTAACCTCTAAGTGTTTGCACAAGATTTTTTTTTATCTTTTTTAATCCCACCATGTTATGATCTAAATTACCAAAGAAAGGATTCAGGATTATGCAATTTCTTTGTTGGAAGTTATCTGATGTCATCTGGCAAACAGAGCATATTCTAGACTACTAGCTCACTAAATCACACATGAATTCTATGAATGTTTGTTTTTTCTTGGCAACATGAACATGTTATGACATTAAGATTGACCAATCCATTAAAAAGACCTTTTCAGCTAAAGTCAGTTACAGGGCATTTGTAAAGAAATCACTGACACGCATCTGAGAAATTAAATTCACAACTAAAAACCTTACGAATCTTCAGCCTTAAAGAGCTGAGGAGAGATCTTAACTGGTGTCTACATTTAATTGGAGGGTACAGAGCAGATGGAACCAGATCCTTCTTGGAGGTGTGCAGTGCTAGGTCAACAGAAAATGGACATAAGTTGCAATATGGGAAATTTGAATCACATGAGGAAAAAGTTTTCACCATGACTATGCTCAAACACAGGAACAGATTCAAAATCCAACCTGAACAAGACCTCTCTCATATAGCTGCCCCTACTCCGAGTAAGGTGCCGATCAACAAGACTTCCAACGAGCCCTTACGACCTGAATTCTTCTCTGATTCCATGAATCCCAGCCTATACAGTTACAGGGAGGATTTTAAATACGTCCTAGGTTGTTTCCACTTTATTTATAGGCAGCTTTGGAAAGTAGTGCTCCAGATGGGTAATCTGTGATTTTCAAAACTCAGAACAATATTCCTACCAGGCTGCAGAACACCACCTTTCCTTTCTATCCCAGAGCTCCAATGCAAATATACTAGCATACATTTTTGCATTTGCATATTACTGGAAAAATGTAACACCTGGTATACTAAATTTATTTTTCAGTTTTCCAAGTCATAAATCAGAACTGTAAGTAAAACAGTTTTCTGGCCGTTTCTGATTCAGTTTGAGATCAAGAGAACCTTTAAAGAATAATCAACTTCACAAAGATCCATCACCTACAAAGAAACAAAGCTATGGCTTTGCTTGCACTGCTAAGAAACACAAAATAGAAACATGCATGGCACTGTGCAGGTGCGCACAAGTAAGAGGAATCTGGACATACAGGAAAAAAAAGTTGTATTCCTAAGAGATTTCCTCTGGCAAACCAACTATTTTTACCGAACTTGACCTTTCACTATTTGGTTCAGGAGCCACATCTGACCCATTTCTGCTTCTTTCGTCAACAGATACAGGAAACATCAGCCAAGCATCAAACGCCACTTGCTGGTAAATTATTTTATACGTATTTTCACTTATCTTACTTCATCAAAGTTACAAATAAACATTCTTTCAAATACTCCAACTTTTTGCTTAAAATTGTTACCTTCTTGCAGAAAGCATAATGCATTTATCCCTTACAAAGGGAATCTAGATAGCAGACCACATAAAAATCAACACAGTAGCACCTCCTGAATCCTTGAAAAACAACTGTTCATCCCAGTATTTTCTAAGAGAATATCATTGCCGAGTAAACCAACAGCCAATAAGACTTGAATCTCACAAATGGCAAACAGGCCAATCAGAAAAGTTACACTGACACCAGTTAAAAAACAATCAAAATAAACATGTAATTGAATAAACCATTTTGTTGCAGATTGGAAGGAAAAAGAAAACCCTTCCTCTCTAAAGATTCAACAAAGAAAGATATTGTATTTCTTTTTTAAACTTCCAGTCTTTTTGATCCAATTCTTTCACAGACCTCTTTAGAGAGCTACATATGTGGAAAAAGCTCACTGCAAGTCACATTAACCATGGCCAAAATACCTTCTATATCCAGTCTGTCAGCATTCCATAGTTTTCTTTTGGTGGACAGAAAGGTTAGTTAAGAAAGAAACTCTGTAATAAGAAGAGCTGGCATTTTTCACATCTCCTGAAGAAAAAAAATTAAAACACCATTTCACAGGCAACGTTGTATCAGTCTGTTATATAAATTAAATAAGGACACCCACACAAACAGTCTACCAGCAGTTTTGCTGAAGATAGTGACCTTACCTTGCACTGCCCTGCCACACAGATTGAAGTTCCATTTTGGTCACACGGCGTTCCATCTATTACTTTTTCAGCTTGTCTCACGTAGAATCGGTATCCTATTGCACGGCAATTCAGCTCACACTTCTGACTTCCCTTCACTGAAGAAAAAGACAAAAATCCCCATTACAGAAAGTACAGCAGTAGTTTTAAAAAGGACATGCATATTAAACTAACACTGAGATCTGAGGGGGAAAAAAAGGGGAACTGAATACTAACACACCAAACGTACTTAATAAGAAAGCAACTCCAAGGTAAGCATTCCAACATACTGTTTTGAGTTTTCATGAGGTATCTTTTTTAATGGCACATTTTCCTAAATGACGAGTATATTCAGTGTTAGGGAAATCTTTCCAAATTTAGTCTCTTCACAGCATGATGCACATTGTAACAGGTTACGACATATCATTTCCTAGTTCCTCTTATAAAGAGTCAGCAAAATTTCACAGTAATCGGAAGGCATCATATCCTAAATCCTTCCAAAAGTTGTCACAAACTTCTTCACCCATCCAATTCTCTACTGTTAAGAAACAAAGCTTGAAAATCTATTCTGGTAGAAGTAAAAATCATTTAAGCCATCCTGTAAGTAATCCCGCACTTACTAATATTTCCATTCTTCAAAACACAGCCAACAGAAGGTATTTTACTGTAGCTTCAGTAACACAGTGAATAAATTCAGCAAAGTTAGTGTTATCATCTGAAGATACGAATGATCAGGCATTCTAGATACTAAGCACTATAATCCATAAATCGGCACCTATTTCTCAGCATTCCAGAGTACCCAGAGCACAACTTGGCCTTCTCAAGGAGAGGGGATAATATTCATGGTTAAAGTACGTGTCACCCATCTCAGGGTGCTAAAATTTCACAGGAAGGATGCAAGGAAGATAGGACTCATCCTACAAGAAGGATGAGAATAACTAAGGGTGCTTTCTTTACCAAACTACTGAAGAATCTTCTATAATTTTACACTACATTATGAATTTCACAGAGCTACTTAAACATAAAACTCCAGCGAGAACGGAATTACTTGGGCGACTGGTGCTAATATTGTAATGGGAACACGAGTTGCCCAGAATTTTGAGGCCAAACTTTCTGTATCTTTTTCTTACACTGAGTGAAGAGTAGCCAAAAGTGTTTTAAAAACAGAGAAGTCACATTTTATTAGAATATATACTAGAATGTTAGGATTTTAAATACAGAAAATTCAAAGTAACTAGGGAAGACAGAACAGAAATAAACAGCGTTCCTGCAGTCAGTTTCTTACTTCCTAGCTCAAAGTATGAGACACAGCAAACTCTGGTCCAGTTTCTTCTGGTCTATGAAGAGTCTTGCTGCATCTTTGTGGCTTGGACACATTCCCTGAGGTCTCTAGATGCTTCTCTCTGTGACCATGCTCAGATGCCCTCTAAGTAGTAATCTCCTACTCCCTTAAAGGGGTTCTGACTGACCAGTTTTCTTAAAGAAACAAAGCGTGTCTGAGGAAAGCAATAAACCTCAGATGCTGCTCATTACAAGTATAAGGCCATAAGCTCAGTGCATTTGTAAATTGCTGATGGCTTTTACTGTGGCATGGCTCTACAGTGACTTGTGCATAACGAGTTAACAGCCTTCATCAGACTGTCCATGTCAGACGTTGCCTCTACTGGTACCTGTCTTTGTCAGAGTGACCCAGCAAAGAAAATGTACTAAGTTTTACTCCTAGGAATAGTTTCTCCCTTATATGGCTGAAGTATCCTAAGGCTGTGAAATACAAGGAGGAATTTTTCACAGCTGCATCTTTATCAGTGTCTAAGGGGGGAAAAAAAAATTCAGTCTTCGGGCAGACAATTCAGAATTATCTGACGATAAAGAACAGTGTGATGATAAATAACATATATGCAACAACCACAATGGCTCTCTGGGGCTTACATATATTCTTGATACATCCAAAATCATCCTTCAAAATCTGATTAAAAGAATAACATCCCATCAGGCCTGCAGAGGACACACAGTGTTTTGTTTTCTGCTCTGGAGATAGAACAAAGGTTTTCAGAGCAATGTGCCATTTCTGGTTAATTTCTTAGCCTCTTCTAAAAAATAAAAACAATAAAAATAAAAAACCCAATAAGCTCATGACACAAGCTAATCGCTGTTCATATTTAATTGCTCATAAAACAGCAACCAAATGGTAAATCCAACACTGAAAGCTTTTATTGGACCAACGTTTAACTGCCCTGCCAAATCTTTCCTCCAACTACAACATGGTATGATGCTATGGTGGCAAACCCAAACTCTGCAGTTAAAACAACCACCAAAAAAATTACTAGGAGAAAGAAGTAAGTTGTCAGTTAGTTTGCTGTAATGAGACATAAGGATCTCAAGACTGCTTAAACTATTTTTGCTTTTGCTATTTAGATTCTTCAAGTGATTCCTCATTTATTAGATAAGTGTCCCATTTGAAAAGCTAATGCATATAATTCGAGAAACCCGAGCTATAGCTTTCATTTCACAGAAGTGAATTATTTAAATGATTTGTATCATCCAAGTTCATTAAGCCTATGAACTGTGGAAAAGATTATTTGAAAAAGCCCAAAAATTATTGTAAATCCAATAATGCCTAGCTTCTTCAGAAACAATAAAAAAGAAAAAAGGTTAAAAAAAACCCAAAACCTTTAGCGCACTAAGAAGAACATTCAGCAACCAACTTCAGTATGAGGCTTGCTACTGAAAAGTTGCTGAGCGTTTCTCCATTTTATGGAGAGCAGTTGCTCTGAACACCGCATGTGACATTGACCCTGGAGCAGATGACCTCAGCATGATGAACCAGACTTCCCTGCCAACTGGAGCTTGTAGGAAAGCTGTGCTGAAACAAGACTAAATCATTAAGCATTTTAAGTTGCAGGAAATATGTGTATATATAGCAATTAAAAAGTCAAACTGATGCACATTAAAGATGCCAAAATAGATGCCCTTGACACTAAAAAGAAGTCTGGATAAGTCGCAACATGACGCAAAGCAAGACTTTTCACACTTTCGCCCATTCACGGGACCTTGCACCAAAGAAGTAAAAACTTCGGAACTTTCAGAACCTCCCAGCTAATTTTATCTCTAGTCTCCCAGCAATGACTGACAAGAAATAGTCTAATTAACACCAAGTCCTCATAAGTAAAGGCAAAAAAAGAGGAAATTATCTAACATCCTCAGATCACAGGTGCCTGTATCTAAAAAACTATGCTAATCCATTTGACATCTTTCTGTATCTGGATAGTTGAGGTATATATAAAGTGTTACTTCAAACTGTTCCAGATATTTAGAAGTCAGTTTAATTCTGCTGTGTTATAAAGCTCTGTGGTTTACTACAGTTCATATTACATTCACACATACAGACTGCTTCGCTGCAAATCATTATGTCCCACTTTGTACTCATCTAGCTGCACAGTGAGGTACAGCAGAATTAAACTGTTTTAGACAATGTATTTCCAACAGCTGTGAGTAAGCACCTAGGTAAACATCTAGATTTGAGTATTTAGCCTTAGGTCTTACAAACAATGTTTTAACAGCAACGTCATACAACTACCTATCTTCTGAATGTCGTCCATTCCACTGCTAGTTCCCTTCCCATCTAGTTTGGAAGTTTTAATTCTCTTCTTGGCTGGGGGGGCGGGGAGGGGGAGCAGGCAAGAAGAAATCGTTATTGACATATATTGTTTCGAGAAGAATAGCTCTGCGGTTACGGTAGCTTCCGCATAGCCCTGAAGTTGCAACGCCAGCTTGGAATTTCTGAGGGTTCTTGCCCATGATTTTATTCTTGCATATATTTCTACCGAACCGAGAAAGGCAGAAAGATTCTACTATCCTCTATCTATGGAGACAAAAAATAAGACTTCAACAAAACAGAATATTTTTTTCCCTTTATCTTTAAACAACCAAAAACATCAGCGTAACTTCTGAGAAGTTGAAAGGTGACAGTTAAGTGATCTATGAACAGATCCTTTTAACCTCAATAGTCAGTCCACCTCAAAGAGAGATATTTAGGTTTAGTATTCGTAAGTACTTTAATCTAAATTGCAAAAAAAAAAATAACCCAACCAATCTTTTTTTCCTCTTTTTTTTTTTTTTTTAAATTTTCTCTTTTGTGGCTATTCCTTAGTTTGAAGGAAGAATTAAGAGAACACCACCAAGTTTTAAAAAATATCTAAAACACAGGCTCAAAACCTAATGAAAGCTTATCACAAATAAAACCTCAAGAACTGCCATCACTCTCGACATACAAGAAAAAGGAAGTAAGACAAATGAACTCTGGGTCAGAGCAACATAAAAAACAAGAAACCATCTTCTACTTTTATGAAGATCTATTATTTAAACAGATACATCCGAATGTACTACGCATCTCACGCTATCAAGTTGCTTAATATACTCATTCTTTTTCAAATCATCTGTTACACTGAAGTTGCAGTTATCCCCTAGTGTCCTTCCAACTCAGAGTAATTGCATCACATAGGGACTGTGACATACAAGCGGAATTCTTTTTCACTTGATAGCAATTTTTAGTTTGCTACCACAATCAAAGTAATAAAATTCCACCGACTACGTCAAGCTTCAGGTCACATCCTACAGTGTAACTGAAATCTGTTGCTGTTTAATCTCTTTCAAAGATACATCTTTATTAGCTGCTAATATGTCATATTCCCAGCATTTTCTACCTGACCCATAGTGTACTATTTTAATCTTCAGCCAAGACGTAACAATTCGCCACAACAAATAGATCTTGCAGTTACTTCAAAAACGTGTTTAGCAACAGCTTTCTGTAAAAGGAACTTTTCAGCTGAACTTTAGTTACCTTCTATGGAGACACAGGATTAGCACAGATCTGTTGTAAAATTTGCATCTTAGATATGACATAAGTTTTGAGAATTTGACCAAACAAGTCTACATCTCCGCTACCCCAGTGAAATACCAAAAGCACAAGAAAGTGTCCCATTACCTCTTTGGAGGTGTCAAATCCAACTGCACAGATTCAGAAGGAATTTCAACCATTACCTAGGCTGCCACAGTCTTCTACTGAATCTAGTCCAGACTACTGAAGCCCAGTCAGCTGAAGTTTGAACAATTACCTGGA